CGGCCACGGCGTCTTCTTTGGAGAAATGTCTGCTCCAGCCCTTTTCCTTGGGTGTCGTCTCTGTGCCGTGGAGGCGAGGAGTTTCCACCTGCGCTGGGCGCCAGGTCCTCCTCTGCCACGCGGGCCGCCGTGTGCTCTCCCGTTGTGTGAGAAGTGCTCTTGGATGCACGCACGGCTTTCAGCCTGATGAGGTATAATTCACCTGTTTCTTAGGTTGCGGGTGCTGCCATCCCTTTGGAGCGGGTGGCTTCTGGGTGGGATTTCTGGTGCAGCGTCACCTCCTGACATGTCTGTGTCTCATACAGTCGTACCTGCTGATGGCGACGGTCATCTTCCTCCCCTACGTCAGCAAGGCCTGCAGCTGGTGCAAGGGCAGGCTTGTGGGTAGGTGTGCGGGCAGGCTGGTGTGTGGGGCCTCGGCACTGCTCCCCAAGGCCTGTGGAGCATGGGAAGGGCCCAGGCGCCCGTGACGGCCAGGCGTCCCTGCAGAGTCCCCTCCCCTGGCCAGCTCCTCCCTCCTGGCACATCCACAGGCCCCCAAGAGCCCCCAGCTCACAGTGTGGAGTTCTTCACATTTGACCTGCATGAGCCTCTCAGCAAGGAGCGGGTGGAGGCTTTCAGCGACGGGGTCTATGCCATCGTGGCCACACTCCTCATCCTGGACATCTGGTAAGGACCCAGGCCTGAGGAAGGGGTCCGTGGCATGCCTGTCTAGAGGGTCTCTCTTCATCCAGCCCTACGCAGGCGGGTGCTGCGGCCTCCCGCTGCCACCCTCCCTGTGGAACGAGTCCCACCCTGGCCGGAGCCCCCTCCAGAATTCAGGGTCTCCATGGGAGAGCACGGGTGGAGGCAGGGAGCACCAGGGCCACACGCAGGACTCCTCACGTCACTTCTCCCTTCCCCACGCTGGGCAGATTGGGGGCAGGCGGGCTTCCCCCACCTCCATTCTCTCCTCCCCCTTTGGCTCCACCCCCAGGCCAACCGCCCCTTCCCCTGCCATCCCCCATCCCCCATGCCAGTCCTCCCCCCACCCCTGTCCCCTGTGCCCACCCCCGGGGCTCCTCCTCCCGCACCCTCTGTTCTCATTTTTCCCTTCACTGTGCTCCACCTGATCTGCCTCTTCATTCTGTCAAGTTCGAATTTTCGTTCCTGCGTTTTTGTGTTTTGTCTGCTCCCCCACCCCCCGCCCGGAAATTTTTCATTCTTTTTTAGACCCTTTTGTTTCTTTGGCCTTATTTCAATACATCCTTATTTTGTTGGACGTGTTACAACACTGTGATTTTGCATTTTGTATCTGGTAAACTCTTCATTTTCCTCATCCTCTCTTGATAGCTTTTTCCTACTGTAACTCGTGAATTTTTTAGAAATTGGGAGCGAGTGTTCACTGGTAATCTCCGAGGCCTAGACCTCAGGTTCCAGAATGATGTGGCTTTGCTCCTGCCCTGTGGCCAGGGCCATGCTAGCCCCAGTTCCCTTGCTGAGTGGAGGCACGGGCCGGCTGAGGCTGGGGGCCCAGGGGGCTGTGTTCCTTCCTCCACTCAAAGCCACCGTCCCAAGGACCTGGGGCAGTACCCCTGGCTCTGTCTCTTGCCCCTACCTGCAGATCCTTGCAGCTCCCTCCAAACCCCCAAACACACTTGTAGCTTCCCACTGTGAGGGCGGCAGGTTCTCTGGGCTGTGCGACTGGGGACATCCGTGGAAGGGAGAATCCTGAGACATGCCTTACAGTTACTCCTTACAATAAAGTGCAGCCCAGATCTGAGAGCCATAGAGGCTAACTGCCCCCCCCTCAGATCTACGGGACTGCTGCCCGAGTTGATTGGATGGCCACAGGAGAATGGACAGACCTCACGAGCACCCACCTGTGGAGGCCAGGGGGGCTGTAGGCTTGGGACCAGGGCTGCTCACCAGCCCGGGGCTGTCAGCAAAGTGCAGGCTGGAGTTAAATTTGAACTTCAGATGAACGTATAATTGCTTAGTATACTAAGTGTGCATGTAGGATACAACAAAAGCGGTCTGTGCCCTTTATGTGAAATTCAAGTGTGCCTGGGAGCTAGGTGTAGCCCGCCTGACGGGGCTCGGGATGGGGTGGGGGCTGTAGCCCAGACCTGACGCCCTGCGTTGAGGCTGTTATAAATGCTGTGTGTTGACCATCCTCAGCGAGGACAACATCCCGGACTCCAAGGACGTGAAGGAGAAGTTCCACGGCAGCCTGGTGGCGGCACTGAGCGTGTACGGGCCACATTTCCTGGCGTATTTTGGCTCCTTCGCCACGGTGGGCCTGCTCTGGTTTGCCCACCACTCGCTCTTCCTGCACATCCGCAAAGCCACGCAGTCCATGGGGCTGCTCAACACACTGTCGCTGGCCTTTGTGGGCGGCCTCCCGCTGGCCTACCAGCAGACCTCAGCCTTCGCCCGGCAGCCCCACGACGAGCTCGAGAGCGTGCGCGTCAGCTGCGCCATCATCTTCTTCGCCAGCATCTTCCAGTTTGCCATCTGGACCACGGCCTTGCTGCACGAGGAGGAGACACTGCAGCCCTCGGCACGGTTCGGAGGCCGGGAGCACGCGTTCATGTTTGCCAAGCTCGCGCTGTACCCCTGTGCCAGCCTGCTGGCCTTCGCCTCCACCTGCTTCCTCAGCAGGTTCAGCACAGCCATCTTCCACCTCACACAGATCGCCGTGCCTTTCAGCTTCCTGCTGCTGCGTCTCCTCGTGCGCCTGGCCCTGGCCCTGCTGCGGGCCCTGCGGGGCCTCCCCCTGCCGGCACCAGGGGGCCAGGACGACGTGCGGTCCCCGCTCCTCCCGTCTCCCTAGTAAGTTCCACGTTCTCCCTGCCCCAGCCTGCAGCTGGCCCACTGGGGCTTTATTTTCATTGTTCTCTTCTGGCACCCTCGGGAGGTTTTCCACTTTGCAGAGTCCGGCAGCAAGTTCACTCCATATTGTGCGCGCCTGTGCCCGTTTCGGTCCTAGGCCCGCGTTCTCCGTCAAGCCGACCCACACGGACGCTGGTAGTCGTGTGGCTCCAGGGGCAGCTGGGGGACCACAGCCTCAGCCCTGGAGGGGGCGTGGGTCCCCACCTTGGCCACCCTCCTGCAGGCAGAGCTCCCTGGCAGCTGCTGGGCAACCCACCCTGGTCACTAGGCACAGAGAACACAAGAGCAGGTCAGCAACGCCCAGACTGTATTTATCCTGGGTATAAATTATGATTACATTCAGGTAGTGACAGGTACACACAGGCCCTTGGTGCCAGGCCCACACTGCCCCATTTGGGCACACAGACGCACTTAAATACAGAAGGACAGACTCACCCTGACCACCACATACAACCACAGACCAAAACCAACACCAAGGCCTGCAAAGCAAAATAATTACACCAACAGGGACACAACACACGGCTGTGTGCTGGAGGCACATGACACGAATGTTCTGCTACAAACGGCCACTACAGTGCATTTGTGCAGTTTTGGCAGAAGCTTGGGGGACGTGGCTGGCAGGGCCGAGCCAGGACAAGAGGGACAGGGGGTTCATGGGCCTTCCTGGAGGACTCAGGAGACACTCCTCCTGGGGCCAGAGGCTGGACTCCACAGGCCGTCTGAACTCTGCTTGGTGGAAGAACACCGCAGCGGTCTGCCCCGCAGGCCTGCCCCACGCCCCTCCTGCCACGTCTCTGCCGCCACGAGCAGCAGCAAGGGGACCCACGAGCCCGGTCAGCTGAACAGATACTGGGACTGATTGTTGACAAACAGGTGATTAAAGCTGGCTCTTCCCACTTCATGCTTTGTAAACTTCCTCTGGGTCTCCCGGCCCAGGCCTGCCTGGATGTGTTTCCGGTCCCTTGCAGGCACATTCTGCCCCACCCCAGTGAGGGCCCAGCTCCCCTGCTCTGCTGCTTCCTGGGCACCACACCACCATCTTCAGGCTGTTGGCCAAGCCCATCTGGTCTCAGGGCCAGCCCAAGCAGCTGGAGGTGCAGCCCAAGCAGCTCATACAGTGATGGGGCCAGGAGACAAGGCACCTTCCCCAAGACATAGCAGGGGCCCCTGCCCAGCCCTCGGTGGCCAGGGCATCCCAGGTCTGTACCGGGTGCACCCAGGGCCCACAGAGCTGGCTGTCCTATAGGAGCATCCAGGGAGATGGCTTGAGATTCAGTGCTGCCCACCTCAACAGGCTCGGGGCGGGGGGCGGGGGGGGCGGCGGCAGTGAATGCAAAGGGAGAAGTGCCTGTGCTACCCAGGATGGTGATGGTGGCCTGGACCCCAAGAGGCGAGAGCATTGGCCAGCCAAAGCCCCGCACCCACCCTGTCACTGGACCAGAGGCCAGGGGAGGAAACACCTGCCACCCACCCAGCAGCTTCCACGTGTCACAGGGATGAGGGGGAGACACGCCACAGTCAGAGCTATGGGCAAGTCCATCGTGGCTGGCTGGCTGGCTGCTGCTGGATACACAGACCGTTCCAGGGCTCTCTGCTACTTGGGGTCCCCTTCGGGGACAGGCACCCCATCTGCTCGGGCATCCTTGGGGGTCCCAGCCTTCCTGGGTTTCTGCTTGGTCTTCCTGAGCATGTGGACCTGTCCCAGAACCAGTCAGGACAAAGGGCTGGGTGATACTGCAGGAGCTATCTCAGCCCGCTTCCCGGTAGCTTCAGTCTGTTGAGCCCAGGGGGCCTCAGCGTGCAGGCCTCCCGGTGTTCCGGGACAACTGGCTGCTGCAGCAGGCACTCGGTTGGCCACGGCCTCCCAGCACCACACCCGCCGCCCCGCCTGCTCAGGCCCCGCCCAGCCCACCCCGGTCCCTACCTTCGGCCCCGCAGCTGAGATGATCATGTGCCCGGGAGCCTGGATCCAGGGCTCGCCGTCTACCTGCACGGGCGTGGCCTTCAGGAGAGTCACGCGGAAGTAGGAGCCCTGGGCGATGCGGATGCCCGAGCGCAGCCCGCCCTGGACCTGGCCCTGGGAGAAGAGAGGGCCGGCTGGGCTCAGCGGCCCGAGGGGCCACACCGGGGCCCACCAGGCCTGCCCGCACTCACCATGTGCATGACGCCCGTCACCCCCACCACCTCCAGCAGCCCGTCATCCATGCGCGGCTTCTCAAACCTCGAGTCGCTGTCCGAGCCCCACAGATCGGCCCCCGAGCCCCAGCTGCACCGAGGGAAGGGCGCACAGGTAAGAGGGGCGGGGCCGCACGAGGGCCTGGAGCCCCACCTGCGGCCAGAGCCCCAGCCACTGGCACCTGGGGATGTTGATGAAGATGAGACCCTCGATGCTGGGCAGCTCCACCTCCCGCTGCTCCACCTGGAGCCGAATCTCCCTGTGCAAGCCGCGTGAGTGGCTGATCTTCTGCAGCCCGACCCGCACGTACACGCCCTTGTTGTGGAGCCTGCGGGGGCGTGCACCTGTCAAGGCAGCGCCCTCGCCCTGCCCAAAACGGCCCCCAGGTTCCAGCCCCTACCCGCCAGTTCCCGCTGGCCAACCCCAGGAAGGGTGCCGTGGCCAGGGGGCGGCCCAGAGCAGTCCCGGCCCCCCCTCCTTGCCCCTCCAGCACCTGCTGGTGAACTTGCCAGGCTCCTCCTCCCGTGCGTGGTGGAAGTCCAGGCTTAGCTCTGCGTCGATGCCAATGCCGCAGTAGTTACTCATCTGCACAATCTGGGGACAAGACAGTCTCGCGTGGCCCTGGTCAGCCCCCACTGGCTGCTCTCCACCTTCCCCCAGCTGGGTCCGGCCTCCTCGTCTCCAACCCAACTCTGTCCCTGTTGTTAGGGCTGCTTCTGTCCAGTGACTGCCCTGCCCGGTGACCACCAGCACCTAGGAGGAGGTAGGCATGGCACGTGGTGCCCACGAGGATCACAGCTGGCCTGGGATGTCCCCAACAAGTCACTGCTCTGACAGGGCCTCAGCTTTCCCAGTAACCGGGATGGCACTCGCACCTACCCCAGGTGGTGGCAGGGACGGGCATGAACCCCCCAGCCTGCAGGGGGCCCAACGGATGCCACACTCTCGCCAGGGCACACGGATACCTTGGGAGGCTCCACATCTGCCATGCTGTTCTCTGCACCTCCAGCCTCCTGAGCATCCAGCAGGATGGTCCAGCGGTCCATAAGCACGGCGTCAGCTTCGTCCACCGACACCAACACGGAGAACGGGTCCTCCCCACTGTAGCCCGCTCCCCAGCGGAGGACCCGGCCAAGGTCATTCCCTGGGACACAGGCAAGAGAAGACTGACTCTCCACGCCCACCTACCCACCACCACCCCCAGGCCTTGACTGAAGCAGGGGATGTGCTGGCCGAGCCCACCTGTGCCCAGGGGCAGGATGGCCACAGAAGGCTCTGGGCAGGCCAGATGGCGCCGCGTCTCCTCCAGGGCAGCGAGCACCCAACCCACAGTGCCATCCCCACCGCATACCAGCACCCGGAAGCAGGGCACCTGGGAGAACACGTGGAACCTGGCAACAGGGAAACAAGAGGTGCTCTTGCAGCCATTCCTATGCAGGTGCACAGCTGGTGGGAGCAGGAAGTGGAGACCCTGGGGCAGAAGGGGGCTGCAGTTCATCCCCCACACACGATGGCCTGGAGGGTTCTGACACGGAACCCCAACCTGTTCCCTTTGGCCTCTCAACGGGTGTGTGCAGGCACCCCTCCCGGAGCTTGCCAGACTGAGCAGCGCAGCGGGGGACCACTAGACTCACCCAGGAAGAGGCCCCCCATTGGTCAGCTCAAAGACCTGGTGAGGGTTCAGCAGCTTCCGGAAACTGCAGAGCAGGTCGCGGCCCTTGAGGCCTCCACTCTTGGGGTTCACAAACACGAGGAGGGGGCAGCAGTCTGGGGGCAGGTTCGTGTGCTGACAGATGGGGCGCTGGGTTAGGGCAGGTTCCCAAGGCCACCCCACGAAGGCAGTGCCTGGTGTCCCCCATGGCACTGTCCGGGCAGTGACAGTCCTCCAATCTGGGGCCAGCCCCCTCCCAAGGAAGGCGCACAGAGGTCCAGGGGGCCACACGGCCACTCCCACCTTGCCGCTGACTGCTCAGGGCACCCCCTGCGGCAGAGGCACCCATAGTCGCTGGCCAGCAGAACAGAGATGAGGCCCGCCAGCCTGCAGCTCTGAGCACAAAGGCGGCGCCACACCAACTGTGACACTTGTCCCCAGACCATGCCCGCTGCCTGATCCACGTAGCCCAGAGGCCCAGGCTGGACACCCACGTGGGACTCTATCTGCCCCTACTGGAGCCATGAGGCGCACACCCCAGGAGGAATGCAGCTCCCAGGGCCCCCACCGACCCACACGGCAGCCAAGAGCAGCAGTCGGGTTCACAGAGTGGCCCCGTGTCTCCCAGTGTGGGGAGTCCACCTCCCAACAAACCACCCTCAAAATACAGTGTCTGGAGACAGTGGTGGGGGGCTGAGGTCCCCATGATGGGGAGGATAGGGGAGCTGAGGTCCCCACAATGGGGAATATGGGGGGCTAGGGTCCCCACAACGGGGAGGATGAAGGGCTAGGTCCCCACGATGGGGAGGATGAGGGGGCTAGGGTCCCGACAGTGGCGAGGATGGTGAGGGCACTGGGGTCCCTGCAGTGGGTCTGGGGTCCCCACAGTGGGAGGTCCTGGGTAACAGGCACAGGATTGGCCATGGCTGAAGGCCAGGACATACTTGGAGTGACCCACAGGGCAGAGCTGCTCGCTTACCCCTCACCCCTCACCCGCTCACCCCAAAGCAGGCAGCTGCCAGGAGGCAGAAGGTGTGTCGGCACTTCCCGCCTGGCTGACAGCTGTCAGAGACCCTGACCTGCACACACTGCACCCTCGTCAGGACAGTGGGACAGCACTGGGTCCCGACCCAGCTCAGGGTAGGAGAGGGCAGCCAGGACCAGTCACCCACCCAGTCACAGACACTGAAGTCACTCTGCCCTAATTCTGCTTCACCGGGTCAGGGGTCTGGAGTTAGGGCTCAGGGACAGAGCAGCCACAAACCTCTGGTGGGATCCTGGGGACCAGCAGAGCTGTGGACCAGAGGGTACTGCAAAGGCACAGAGCGTAGGGCGGGACCTGGGGCTCCGGCCCCTCACCCTGCCCTGCCCTGCGTGATGCCCACCCTGGCCCTGCACTCACCCCCAGCTCGCTCTTCTGGACACAGCCTCCAAAGTCAGGGAGCCCCACCTACTGGCCGGAGGTGGCCCAGGGTGATGGCAGGGGTCCCCAGGCCTCCCAAGCAGGGGGTATGGGGCCAGGGCCCAGTGACCCCACAGAAGGCAAGGGCCTGGCAGGGTGTCTGCACACACACAGCCTTTGGGAGGCAGCCGCCACGGGGCAGGCGCTGCGTCCTGTGGTCCTCACGCAGGCCTCTCACCCTTGGACCTCAGGCTCCTCCCTTGGTGTGAATTTAGCCACCACCCTGCACGATGGACAAACCGGTGGTGGGAGCCACGCCTCCCCAGGTGTCCCCCCAGAGCACCCACTCACCAACACATCTGGAAGCACCAGGGCAGTGAGCGGCCGGCCATGCACAGCCGTGTCCCTGACCAACATGTACAGTCGCTCCGCCTCTGCAAAGCAGGTCACGTCCAGCACCACTGCACCTGTAGCAGGTGCACTGTAAGCTCAGGCCAGAGCCTCACCTTATCCCGCAGCCAGAAGGGCCCCTGGCTGTGCCATCTGATGGCATCCACATGACCAGGACCACCTTTCTGTGGAGCCTTTAAAGACGGCGAGGCTCAGAGACAGGACGTAGTAGGTGGGTGCAGGTAAGGCCACCAGGAGGTGGGATGGAGTGGCTGGGAACACTCTGATCCCTGGCCCACTGAGCCTGCTGGGACCTGTGGTTTGGGGCGGGGGGGGGGG